CCCCCCCCCCCCCCCCCTACACCAAAGAAGCACAGGTGGTCCGTAACATTCCCGAAGGATATGTTATCACAGATATGTTATCACAGAGATGTATAAGTCATCGCGCAATAGTTTTGATCCTAGCCGTCCGGGCGTCTACATCGGCGGAGAAAATTATTGGCCTGTCAAAATAATTAACCAATCGGGTCGTATGAAGTGGATGAATCTGCACGAAGACGAGCCAACGGTCCGAACCTTTGTTAAAGAAACCATGGCGAATGAACAATTAAGCCAAACGACACTTATTACAAAACACATTTAAATTGTTGCGCGTAATTTAAAAAAAAATCAAACACATTATGCTCTAAGAAGTAGACCACATTAACCTGAATTCTTGTGTAAACTTTTGGCTGCAAAACGCTCCTGTCTTGCCTAAATTGCTTTCTCTCTTCCAATATAAGCCTCATTATTGTTGTGTTTCCAACCCGCACGGATAACCCCCGACGCCCGTGCAATGAATATTCTAATCTACCCGTATTTATTCACACAGTAGAAAATGCAAATCTCTGATAAAAGTTAATCCTTTAATTAGTTTCACCCTTACAACACATAGCAACTGGTGTGCTTTAATATAGCTTAAATTTATTAACCTTATCCGAGTTTTAGTACTTTAAAAACCTAGCACTAAATATAGAAATCGCTTGACAATTATATATCATGACCTCTAACTTCCATGTGTTTATATAACTCTAGACAGCAACATATTCTCTCGTATATAGACCCCATATGGCAGACCGGGATTTAAATATTAGTTTAATTGTAGATACGTAACTCCTACCGCATGCTACTGCTCGGCGTTTTGACGCCGCTTGATAATATTTATATATTACTTAACAACAAAACATATAGCTGTATACCCCAAATATATTAGTTTAAGATATATAACACTCATGCTATTTCATATAGTATCAGATTTTCAAATTCCTCTATGAGCTAAATTATAGAAATCACTTGACAATAACAGCAAAATGCTATAGCTGTGGTTATAAAACTCCGGACAACAACATATTCTTTTGTATATAGCCCTATTTTTCATATGGCAGACCCGGATTTAAATATTAGATATGGGAACGCTAGCAACATCTGTAAATGTAAAAAAACACTCCTCAAACCTCAAATCATAGCAAGCCAAGATTAATGGAAGCCTTGCAGTGCCTCGGAAAGTCGTCTCCAATTGGATGGGGGTTTTCTAAAGAACGAAGCAATTCATTGTTATAAACACAATAGCAATTGTCAAATCGAGCCAATGAAAATCACTCTTCCAAGCTACTGCGAGGCTACCCAGATTAATCCCTCTATTGTATCACACACGTGGAGCGACGCTAAAAAAAATGCTTAGTCAGCAATTTTTGTCCGTCCCCGTCCAAACAGGCCCGCGTGACGTCATATTAATATTAATTATAAATGAGGTGGTATGTTATGGCAGCGAACTCTTGGCATCCCAAACAACATCTAGGGATCTTCTTTGTCCAGAAGGTGTCCAACGACGAGCGACGAAACACATCCTTCAAGACTGCACAACATCTTACACCAACCGTTTAAAGCAACTTCACGGACTCCTATCACATACTGGTTAGAGAAAAATATATTATATTTTTTACAAATTTAAAGCTGGTTATTTATGACCTAAAACCTGAAACTATATGTATATGTAGTAGGCAATCCGTCCCGTCATCATACTCGCCTTAGTTCTACCGCCGAACCTCTGCAGAACATCTTCCTCCCGAAATCTATTTTTTCAATACGATTGTACATCCCTATATATGGAACAGCCTGCCAGACGAAGTAAAATCCTTTTTTGTTAGTTAGTAGTATACTGAGAAACTTATTAATGCATGTTTTGATGTTGATAGATCCCTTGATAGACTTGGGAAACATTTTGTTCAATAAGTGTCGTTCTTGTTTTTAAATTACTGTTCCTAAGAGTACAATAAGTGTAGCGAATTTTATGCACATACTATCTGCAATTTGTCAGTTTAAATATGTTGTAATGAAGCATGTCAAGCAAGAATTAATTTCCGACTTTATTTGACCTGTTGTCTAGCCTTGTAAAATTAATAATACAAAAAAAAAATTGGCCATTTCCCATTGTACTGTCCTCTACGGTGGCCCACAAGTGTCACACGCAAATAAAAAGATCACAACGCAAACAAAAGTCACGGCACGAAAGCAAAAACTCACGGCACGAAAGCAAAAACTCACGGCACTAAAGCAAAAACTCACGGCACCAAAGCAAAAACTCACGGCACCAAAGAAAAAACTCACGGCACCAAAGAAAAAACTCACGGCACAAGAGCACATTTTCAGCAAGAGAGGACTGGAAACTGATTTAAAACAATCGAACAAACATGGCGGACAATTTTCCGGATTTAGGCGAAGAAGATGATCAAGTTGACGAAGAAGATATTGTTCGATACTATTTTTTTAAAGGCTTTACATACGAAGAAATTCGAATGTTCTTGCAGAGAAATCATGGTCTTGAAATAAGCATTACAACGCTGAAACGGCGTATAAAAGCCTATGGTCTCCGAAGGCGAGAGCCAAACTATGATGTTAATGAAATAAGAGCAGCTGTAGAGGATATTGTTGATGGTTATGGCAGTACGCAAGGCTACAGGGCAGTATGGCACACATTGCAGCTAAAAGGGTTACGTGTTCCTTGTATTGTTGTACAAGAAATTCTTAAAGAAATTGATCCAGAAGCAACTGAAATGAGAAGAGCTCATCGTCTTAAAAGGAGGGTATACCACAATCCTGGGCCAAATTACGCGTGGCACTGCGATGACTATGACAAATTAAAACCCTACGGATTTCCAATCCATGGCTGTGTTGACGGATGGAGCAGGAAGGTATTGTGGTTATATGTTACCAGATCAAACAACCAACCTGATAATATTGCAAAATTTTATCTTGATGCTGTTGAAGAGTTTGGTGGGTGCCCTGTTGATCTGGTCACAGACCTGGGCACTGAAAATGGAACAATGGCAGCTATTCAAGCTTTCTTCAGAGACGATCCCAACAGCCATCGATACGTACCATCGCCCCGTAATCAACGAATTGAGGCATGGTGGGGTCTCTTGCGAAAGTCTTGCACGACATGGTGGATCAACTTCTTTAAAGACTTGGTAGCACAAAGAACCATTGATCTTGCCTCAGAGTTGGACATGGAATGTCTATGGTTTTGTTTTGCAGAATTAATCCAGAAGGTCTTGAACGAAATAAAAGAACACTGAAATACGCATTATATGCGTAAGTCACGTCATGATACCGTAAGTGGCCGGCCAGATTCATTGTATTACCTGCCCCACTGTCATGGTGGCGGCAACCATTTTATTATGCCAATTCCCGAGGCTGAAGTTCATTATGCTCGTGCACATGTTATCGATTTGCAGGATGACAACATTCACCAAGATTATTTCAATTATGCTTTGCAAGCTAGTAATCATAACAAACCAACCAATTGGAGAGAGGCTCTTGAACTTTACAATGTTCTGAAGCAATGTGCATATAACGGGATCCACTGATTGAACGACATCATTTTCAAACAATTGCTCCTAGACATAGGCTATCTAATACCATCTGAGAGATTATATGAGAATTAAAGACTGTTGTAAACAATTACTCATATAAACATGTTCAAATACACATGCCATATAGCCGGTAAGAAATATCCGGTTATACACGTACAGTATATAGCTCAGTTACTACCGTTCACAAGCAGACTAGTTGTAAGCTGGGATAATTTAAGGCTACCCATATTAGGTTAGCCAAAATCTTACACACCTTAGTAATGCGAAAGCTAAAAAGCCAAGGAACTAGGCTTACACAAATATATATTTGGTAGAAGTCAACGAACTAAATCAAACTGAAATGCTAATTTTGGTGGGATATTCGAACCCAAAGTTTGAAGGTCAGCTCCAATCTTTTTACCTAAAAATAACAGGGCCATCCATACAAATACTCGGCTTGAAATTCATAAATACGCATGTTTTGTCTTGGTTTCGATCGATGATAGGGCGTTTAGTTTGAATGATGATAGCTTTCCACACTCTAGTCCCTGGCCTTCCAAGCGCGGGCGAATTACAGGCTATCATGAACTTGTGGGCTGTCTGTTTCGTAAAATGTCCGAACTGGTTTCCTCCTAAAATAATGAGATGGAAGCGAGAAGGCCAGGAACTAGGCTGAGCTTTCCAGGTCTATTTACGTCAATGCTAATGGTAGAAACTCATAAATGGCAAGTGGCAACCATTAATAAATTGGTTGGTCATCTTTGTTCAGATTTAGATGTGACTACTCGTTGTTACCTCATCACTCGCAGTCAGCCCTACTTTACCAGATATAAAACTCTCTGCTGTCGCCTCGAACTTTATATCTGATAAAGCATTCCCCCGCTGGTGTTTTAAATAGTACTTATATAAATTGTTCTATAATTGTAATGCTTTATACTATGTGTAAAAATAAAACAATTTCGTTAAATGGTTCCCTCTGTTCCAATTTTAGTGACTACACTTTTAGCTGGAAAATATATTAAAAGGCAATCGCCACCAATCATTCTTCCCAATTTTATTACTGTATTAGATAACATAGAACAGTCGTACCTAATCTAATACAGTAATAAAAATGAATTGGGTTGGTCCATTGGCTTTTTTTATTTGTCTTTTCTCTGAATCTGCACATATATTAAATAATATTCAACTAAATCATGTTTTACCTCATTTGAATGTCGTTGCCAGAGATTTGCCAGGCGGAAAACGAATTCGTATAATAAATATGAGAGCCCAACATATAACTCTTAACAAAGCCATTAAAACAGTTTTAAAATTACTTTTAAAATTACAATTAAAATTCTTTACAATCTTTTAAAACTGTTTTAATGGCTTTCTTAAAAGTTATATGTTGGGCTCTCATATTTATTATACGAATTCATTTGAATGTCAATCCAATTATATTAAAAATTGATAACCTGGTAAGAGTTTAATATCAACTCAACTAACATACCATATGATTGATAACTTAACACAAAAAGATGACCATAAACATAAAATTAACTATAGTTCTCATATCAACCATAAACTTTAATATGAAACATGCAAACGATGTCACACTTCATCAGATTACCTAGTACTCAAAAACCGTAACATAACGAGCAACGCCTGCAATATTATAATATGATAACGTTCGTTTCATTAAGATACGAACAATCCAAATGTTTTGGAAGTGTCAAAAGTTAGCGAAATGCAACAGAACGATTAACACGGTGTCCTACTTACTTGTTTACGGTATCGTACTTCCTTGTCTAATGCTTGGTGGTATAAAATGGCCAATTTTATACCACCAAGCGCTTATCCAAAAATCAAATGCTAAAATAAAGGCAGAGTTTGAGCCAAAATGTTCAAATTCTTGTTTATATCAGATATGAAGTCCCGTCTTAACCTTATTAACCAAGAATTTTTAACTAAATTTTGTATATAACACAGTTTCTGAAGGCGTTCGAAAATAATGACGACGTCATCACTTTTATTTTTCAAGAATAATTAACTCGGGAGGAACTAATCCTATTGATTCAAAATTTTTGGTGAACAATCTTAATAACGATATAAACAATATATAAAATTTCCAATATTGTAACTGAAATTCCAGGAAATTGGACGGAAACCTGCATAAGGCCAACTTCGGCATGCTGTACTGATAGCAGCGTTGTGAACTTTGAATGGCTGACTTAAATTTATTGATTCAATGATTAATTTGCACAATTTTATGTCACAATACGAAATGGCCCAAAAGAAAGAAATTATGCATTGCCAGATCTGGAAACCAAGGAGACAAAGTTTATTGTTCACACTTACAATTACTGGATTAGTGATTTGAAT